GGACTAGCAGGGCGCGCAACCCAAGTCCCCGCGACCCTCCGGCTAGGGCGGGCGGGCCCACGCGGGGCGTCTCCGCAGCGCAAGTTGCAGTTCGGGGATCCCTCGCTCCTCGTCATCCCTCTGGCCTGGCTGGAAAGGGGGAGCTCCCTCTTCCCCCGCCCTCGGTTAGTCCAACCTGCTCTTCGGTTCGCAGACTAGTGTCATTCGCCTTAGTCTTGCCTGGGCTTTGAGCATCCCATCGGGGCTTTGCCAACTGGAAGGGGCACACAACCAGCCAGCGCAAGTTGCAGTTCGGGGATCCCTCGCTCCTCGTCATCCCTCTGGCCTGGCTGGAAAGGGGGAGCTCCCTCTTCCCCCGCCCTCGGTTAGTCCAACCTGCTCTTCGGTTCGCAGACTAGTGTCATTCGCCTTAGTCTTGCCTGGGCTTTGAGCATCCCATCGGGGCTTTGCCAACTGGAAGGGGCACACAACCAGCCTGGCTTTCTCAGGCACTCGGAAGCATCCCCTGGGCTGGGGGAAAGTCTCAAAGAGGTAGCTGTGTTAGTTTGTAACTGTAAAAACAAACCAGCAGCTCTGTGGCACCCTAGAGACTAACAGACGTATTGGGTAATGAGCTTTCATGGGTAAAACCCTCTTCAGACGGTGGTGATTTTGTGTAGGGGGAATAGCCTGATGCTGGAGAAGAGGCTTTAGGTTAGCTGGGAGGGTCAGCCCTGAGCTCTGACTGGAGCCAGGGGCTTCCCTCGCACAGCTAACACACAGTGCTTTTGCTGACTCCTCGTTTGAAATCTTTGAAACAGGCTGATCTGAACGGCACCTCAAGGAAAAGACTTGGGGCATCTTCCGGAGCAGTTCCAAGCATTCCACTTTATTCTTTTCCTTGACTCTAACCTCACTCACCAGAGACTGCTTAAGTAGATGCTTTCCAGTGAAGAAATGGAAATATTGCCGCTAGTTTTCATTGTTGCTGGGAATAAACAAAATTCACAATAAATTGGACTGATTGTTCCTAACACTTTACATGCATGGAGAGCTGCACTCTAGTGCTTTTACAATCATCTTGCTTAATTGCTTGTTCTATGTCACTTTCAGTGGGCTTTTTTGTGGGGAAAATATGGGTGCTTTCTGGATTAAGACTAGAACATTTGAAAGTTTAGGGAAGTTAGGTGGACCTACTGGAGATCACAAAGTTCTGATCCAGATTTATATTTTCCCCACAGTTGGAACTGGTTTTAGAGGTCCTAATTTTTGATCCAAAGTTTGGCGTCAGGCTCATTTTTTGCTCTTAATCGAAAACTTTATAGATGCAGCAAAGATTTTTTTAAACTAGATGTCTAGAGGCAGGTTCTTAAATCCATATTTATGCACTTCAGTGAGTGTCTTTATTAAATCAAAGTGCTGTGCATCCAACTCTTATGGACTTTAGCAGGGTTTGCTTGGTGCTTAAAACTCTTGAAAATCAGGCCATTTATTTAAGTGCCTAACTAATTTAAATAACCTAGCTATAGACACTTAAGCTACGTCTACACTGGCCCCTTTTCCGAAAGGGGCATGCTAATTTTAAACTTCAGAATAGGGAAATCCGCGGGGGATTTAAATATCCCCCGCGGGATTTAAATAAAGATGTCCGCCGCTTTTTTCCGGCTTGTAGATAAGCCGGAAAAAAGCGTCTAATCTACAAGCCGGAAAAAAGCGGCGAACATCTTTATTTAAATCCCGCGGGGGATATTTAAATCCCCCGCGGATTTCCCTATTCTGAAGTTTAAAATTAGCATGCCCCTTTCGGAAAAGGGGCCAGTGTAGACATAGCCTTAGTCTCGAAAATCTTGGCCCTACTAGATTAAGTATATGCTTTCTAATTTCACAGGTATTGAGACTAATTAAAATTTCAGATTTAACAGCAACATTTCTATTAATCCCACTAATGGAAAAAATTAGGCATTCATTGTTCTAAATTTTTTTTAAAGCAAAAATATCCCAAATATTTCATATGGGGGAAAAATTAAATTAGGAAAAGGAACAACTGAGCCATACAATTAGATTAAGTGATGGAAAATCCACACAGTCTTTAAATCCAAACTGGATATTTTCTAAATGATATGTTTTATAGTTCAACCAGAAGTTATGGGCTACATGCCAAAATTACTGGGTGAGGTTCTATGGTCTGTTATGAAGAAGGTCAGACTAGATGATCATAACAATCCCTTTTGGCCTTAATTTATGCTTGAAGATGTGAGGCTAAAATCTGTTTAAGCCAGCGTAAAAAGAGAACAGTTTCACTTGGGATCTCTGTTCAAATAGGCACATTAGAACAGAGTTAGCCCTAACTTCATTGAAAAGAATCATAGTTATACAATGTGGTCTGACTTTTTGTGACTATTGCACAGCCACTGGGTTTTGAAAAATGGTGTCTGTCTGTAGGGCCTGATATAAACACTGTGATATAATAGGGATGTGAAAGTGTAATCATGTACACGGTTACACATAGGCTCCTGGTATGCATGGGGAGCCATCTTAAAAGGCAATTTATCAGGGGCAACAGTGCAGAGGGGTGGGGAGCAGTGGGCAGTCATGAGCCAGTGTGCGTGGGGAACTGGCCTAAAAGCTGGTTCTCTGTGTGCACAGGCTCTTGGGGAGCTGACTGCTTCCCACATGGCGTGTAACCATGTAATCACAAAATGTCAGAGGTTACACATTTACTTAAACACATTTTAACATCCCTAGTTGGAACTCAAGGTGTCAGTTTGGGTGGGAGTGAGGCTGTGGGGCTCCCAGGTTTTAAAATATTTATGGGACCTCTGCTACAGAAGGCTCTGGCTGAATTTAAGCCCTAATCCTAAATTCTTTAAGATTTTAAAGACAATGCAGAAACCTCAAAGGTGATTTCATCTAGAGCGGGGGTAGGGAACCTAAGGCCTGGGGGCCAGATGCGGTCCCTAGCTTGCATGTATCCAGTCCCTGTGGTCAGGGCTCTCCTACCCAAGGGCCATATTAGTGGGGGTTTGATTGCTTCTCACTTGATGTGGCCCCTAACTGATTTTTCTGTGGGTCAGCAGCCCCCAACCCAAAAAAGGTTCCTTACTCTTCATCTAGAGGAGTAACTTATCTCTTTCTGTGTTGCAATGATAGACTTAAAGATCATGATGTTCAAGGATTTTGCTTCACTTTTTGAATGCTTATTCTCTCACTTAAGAATTTTGTCAGACTGGAGCCTAAGTGTATGCTTAATTGTAAATATTAGGGCCCATTGAAGTACACTGGACTTTTCACTTAAAGTTAAGCATCTCTTGAAGTGCTTTGTTGGGTTGTGGGCTCAGCAACCAAAAAGCCATGTTTTTGTTGAATGTGTCTTGACTTCCACTAGTTATTGTAAGAGTACACAAGGGGGTCAGGCAGCACACATAAGTTCATTATTGTTAGGCTGCTTCTAGCTGACTGAATTCAATAATTCAACTACATTTTATGCATGTATTTGGAAAACAGCTTACAAAAACACAACTTTGCAAGCAGTTACTCAGGAGAACAATAAAGCAGGTCAAATATAGGATTTTTTTTTTAACCTTGGCTGTGACATTACATAGTTCTGTATTATCTCTTTTAGATGAGAACAAGGACTCAGACAGCATTGTGGATGTTTTGTCTTTCAGCTCTAGTTTGTTCCCACAGAGGGACAGAGGAATCTGTATGTGTTACAAAAGCAGGATTGTCTGGGTAACGGGTCCAGTGTTGCAGTACTAAGATAAAGTACCACATCCTCCCTGAAAAGTATTCTTGGACTCTTGTACCTGAAGAAACCGGCAGCCAAATTTTCAAGTGTGAAACCATGGTGAAAATGACATTTAGAGCACTGTGCTTGTATTTTTTGCCTTCCCCTGCTCACCCACCCTTATTAGCATCATTTTAGGGGCTTTCAAGGTAATGCACCAAAATGTTATCCCCAGCTTAATTTGTGACGACAGAGGTGGCAGGGGTCAAGCTGGGCAGCTGTTGTCTGGGCATCCAGGTCTGAAGGCAGCACTGCTACCAGTAGGAGCACAGAAATTGGGGTGGCATGGTATGGTATTTCCACCCATCTGCACTGTGGCTCATGGCTGGGATATCTTCTGGGCTCTTGATCAGTCACCTTGCTCTGAAGTGCTGGGATGGTGAACTTACCAGCTTAGAGGTGCCAGGGCTGCCCTGATACAAATTACGCACTGGCTGTAACATTTTGGTGGGGGTTTTGGTTTGGTGTGGCTTTTTTTTTTTTAAAGGAGTGGAGGGGGGCAGAGGGGAGAATGAGTGAGAGAACTTCACCTGGATTGGAAAGTGCCAGATTGACAGCCTGGGATATTGATGTCTTCTATTTATGGAATGAACAACAAAGGTACCACATAGGCAGCAGTAGCAAAGGCATACCATATCTGTCTCCAGTTCTGGAAAAAAGACTACTTGCAGGGTGTGAAAGAAATTCAGTATGTGACCCCATTTATTTTAACCTCTGCTGAGATGGCCACAAGACCACTATCTAGTGACAATGGTGTCTGTAGTGTACAGGGAAGGCTGACCACAGGGTTCTGAAGTTGAACTGCAACAACCAGCTAATGCCTGAAGATATGAAACTTGAGTACTTCATTTTAGCCTGCATAGTTGCTGATATGAATATTGCTCATGAAATTATCCAAATATTTAAAACTTAAATAAGCTCTTTTACTTCACTTGTTTTCATTGTGTTTTAACAAAGGCGGATACACTTTTTTTTTTTTAATTCATTTACAGGTTGGGAAGGATGGGGGTGAAAATGAAGCACAGGGAGATAATGTAATTAGGTTAGTATCCTATAATTAGGTTAGTATCATGAGTAACAGCACAGCTGGCAGTAGTATCTAGGTGTCTTGATAGTCTCCATTCAACCCAAAGAGGAGATGGGACTGTCTTCTCTGTAGCACCTGAAAACTGCAGTGGAGGTTTTTGGTTTAAAATGTCCTAGCTGTGTAGCATTCTGCTGTACACTAAATAGCAAGTAAATCCCAAAGTCCCTGTTACTACTGCCTAGATCCAGCTGCATTTCCTTTGTGTGCAATAACTTCTTAAATATGTCTTCTGAAGCTGCCTCTCTGTTCTCAAACAGGCTACTTACCATTTTGAAGAAATCAGCAGCTGTAAAACAAGGCTATATTAGGACACAATAGATCAATGTTTGTCAACCTGTTTTTTTTACGAAGTACCCCTTTTTCTAAAAAAAAAAAAAAAAAAAAAGTACCTACAGTTTTCAGCCTTTTTTTTTTTTTTGTAAACCATTGCAACACCTTTGTTTAAACAACTTAATTGTAGCCAGGCGGGTGATGAAACTTTGGGTGTAAAAAGTACAAAAATAATAAAGAGCTGTAAAACTTAAAACAAATTCAGTTTTCTCCAAATTTCAGTTGCGTTGACATACCACCCAGACTTCTCTTGAATACTCCTGAAGGTACTCATACCACTGGCTGAGAAACACTGCAATAGATCATCTAAATTCAGGGAAAAATTGTCCGTGTCCTTCTCACTGAATTTTTCTCAGCCCCCGATGCTACCAAGCTAGACTGGCTAGCTGGTTTTGAGTAAAGAAGGTCATGAGGTATTCTGTCCTTCTGATATATTTTGTATCCTGGTATTACTGTGTCCCATTGATTATTTTCATTCCACCAAGTGTCTGTGATACCTTTTATATCCATAGCCTCATTAAATACAAGGCATCTTGGTATCTTCACCCATCTTGGTTTATAGACTCTAGCATTTGTACACTTAAAAAAACAAAACCGGACAGTTTTTTTGCTATTTTAATTTGCCGTTAAATGATGTATTTGACTGGGATTCTTTTTCACATGACCATGTTTCTCATCAGATTTTACTTGTATTTTTATTATTTTTCATCGTTGCCTCTTTTTACTAGAATATAAAGAATCTCCATTAATAAATCATCCCCTAAGGAGTGTCTCTCTAGGTAGCCTACACTATTTTGTTGCCTACATCATAGGCTAGAACCAAAATCTCTGGGAGATGGCATCTTGCCTACATGCTCTCGGGCAGGAGCTAAAAGAAGAAAATCTGTTCCAGAATAGCCAGTCTAAATTTGTATTTTTTTTTCTTTTCTCAGTGTTTTTAGAGCATCTTGGAGGAGCTGTCTAAGGAGAAAAAGAACTTAGCCATGGCAGAACTTGCAATGGAAAATGGTAGCTGCATGGACTGGCAGAAACGGTGCCTCGCATTGGAAACCCAGCTTTTCAAATTCCGCTTGCAGGCTAGCAAGATCCGAGAATTACTAGCTGAGAAGGTGAGGTCAAAGCTACATACTAAAATATATCTATGTATCTAATATGTGATGAAATCAATGGCTGTAAACAGTCCAACAGTTGTACTACATGGACTTTGAACCTAACTTTAATTTATACTATGGTCATTTTATATTGTTAAAGATTCTTATGGTGAAATGCTTCCCTGTGTGGCATTAGTGTAAATGAAAACTGGGTCCTGTGCATCTGATTTACTATACCATCAGATTTGCATTTGATGCAAAGGCACCTTGGTAGCTCACAGGAATTCAATATTTTAATTTTTCTCCTGTTGAGAAATTTCTTCAGATTTTGTTGCAAGTCACAAATGAAAGGAGTTTGCCAGGCTCATTCTAGCTTCTTGTTTGTCCACACCACCACACAGTCTGGCATACTTGTCAGTCTATATCCAGGGAACAACTTTTGACTACTGTAGGGCACAGACACAACAGCAGAGTTGATTTGGACCTTGACCCAACAATAGTAGAGGATGCTGCAGCTCAGAATTGAGTTGGTATTAGAAGAGCATTGGGGTGACATTAGAAAAGCTTTTGGTGTGCAGAGCAATACTGTATTGTGACAGTTGTCAGGTCCCAGGCCAAAACTCTCAAGGGGAACAGCCACTTAGGACTGAAGGTAGGTCTAGACTACATGCCTCTGTCGGCAGAGGCATGTAAATAGACTACCCGACATATTTAAATCCCCACTTCATTGACTATGTTGGGTAGTCTATTTACATGCCTCTGCCGACAGAGGCATGTAGTCTAGACATACTCTGAGATGCATTATCAAAGTTCCATAGGAGAAGCTTGCATAGTGCTTTGGTCTTAAATGACTTAAGTTGGAAAATAAGGGAGACTCTTTTACATTTGATATTCTGTGCCGCCTTCCTTCCTGGCCTGAATTTCTTAAACTTTTTTTTTTAACGTGTTACTGTTTTGAAGGGGGGGGGGAATTGAAACTGCAATGCTTTGGTAACAGCAGGCTTATTTGTTCACAGAAGGCTGCAAGTCAAAGCTCATTCCTTGCACTCTTTATGTGAAATTATTTCCTGCTAATGTAGCTTTATTAACTGCCTTTCTACAGGGACCCATAAAGCACAGGATTAAGCTTTAGAAATTAAGAATGGTACTTTCAGCCACATGCAATTTTGCTGGGACCCCTGTTTTAGTCTCATGCCTCTATTAATACAGCTTATAGTTTCCTTTTGATTCCCTCACTGGATCCAACATGTGATTTACAATAATCCAATTTAAGAGCGTTTGGCCAATCAGTTATTTGTATGGGGGTAGCAGTTTCCTTCAGTCACAGTTAAATAATAGCAAGCTGCAGACATCCTAGCACTTAATCTCTCTGTGGTGATAGTTGTGACCTACATCAGTTTTGCTCAATTTTACATTCCTTCAGAAAGCCCAGCTGTCTCAGCCTCTGTAATGATCTTCAACCTCCCTTTCAACGTAATTACCTTTTCACGGGGCTGGCAACAGACTTCGCCGGGCCTTGGGCAATGTGCATGTGGGGGGGGTGGAAGAACTCGGCTCTGGTTTCCTCCAGAAGGGGCAAGGTTTCAGGCAGAGCTCAGGGCAACCAGTCCTCAGTGCCACCCAAACTGCTGTGTCTCCCACAGCTAGCTAGGGTTGCCAGATGGTTTAACCAAAAATACTGAACACTCTCCCTCTTCCCCCCTCCCCCCCAGGGGGAAAAAAGGGAAAAAATTCGGGGTGTGTGTGGGGGGGGAGGGGAGACCAAAGTTGTTAAGCAAAAAATAAATACATAAAACAGCATGGCCCCTTTAAGAAATGCTTTTTAGGCTTTTTTGCCCTAACAGGCTGCTGGTGGCTGTTTGCCATCTTGTCTTCCTGCTGTGGGTCAGACAGCTCCCCAGCAGAAGCAGGTAAGCACCCAGGATTTTCACCTCCTGGCTGGGAAAAAAATCAGAAAATACCGAACTTTTTAGGTGCCTGGTATTTTCTGAATTTTTTTTTTTACTGGACAAGAGGTGAAAAGACTGGACTGTCCAGGTCAATATTGGACACCTGGCAACCCTACAGCCAGCCCTCAGCACCGCCTTGACCGTGCCACATGGGGCTCCAATGGTGGATTTTTATTTATTTATTTATTTATTTATTTATTTATTTATTTTAAAGGGCCAGGAGTTCTGGGCCCTCTTTAAATTGCCTGGACAGCTGCCCCTTTTGCTTCCCTCCTCCCTCTCCCCTTCGGCAGCCTTGCATTTGCACTAACATGACAGAGCATGCAAGCCCTATTCATTCAACCCTTTGTGCATGTCTGAGGAAACTCTCAGCTCACTTCATTTTGGGAGCTGAGCTGAACTCCTCCAGATCATGTCAATAGTGGGGACACTTACTAACCAGTTTTAAATACAGAGCTGTTAATCAGACTTTAAGCACTATCTAGAGCCAGAGCATAGACCTGTTTTTAAGGCAGCCACACCAGCTTTTATGACATCAAGGAAATCTAAGTCTTTCTTCTTGTGTATATGAAACACTGACAGGCGGACCCGATCCTGGGACCTCCTAGAGCTTAGTGCATGAGTCTCTTTTGTTGCATGAGCTAAAATCCAGCTGGCTCTCCGCTAAGGCTGAAGAGACTCATGCACTAAGCTCCAGAGGTCCCAGGTTCAGCTCTGCCTGTCAGTGTTTCATATACACAAGAAGTGAGACTTAGATTTCTTTGTCATAAAAGCTGGTCTGACTGCCTTAAAAACAGGCCAATGCTCTGCTCTACACAGATGGGATCATACACTACACCCAGCAGGTGTGTAGGTTACATATAGCCATTTCCTAGTCTTATTTCTTTCCATGGAAATTCTAGATTTGATCGATATCAAACTAATGAAGCCGTTTGTTAAATTTCCTTTTGGCGCATGAATACACCATAAGCCTATTTGATTCTCCCCTCCATAGACTCTCTTTGAGGAAAATCCTGGCCAGGGGCAGTGGGATGGAATCACCTGCTTCAGGAAACCCCCTATGGAAAGGGAAGGGCTCTGGGGCTAATCCAGCCCTTCAGTCACAGCAATAGGCCCTTTGTTCCCTAATCTCCACAGTTTGGTTCAGTGATCAAGTTACTCTGTAACGAGCTGTATGGCTTTGTGAGTGGTTTGCTGAAAGGTCAAAAAGCCAGGCCCGGTATACTTAATGTATAGCAGGAGGGGAGGATAAGTTAGGGTCAGGTTTCATGGTGTAGTGAATTTGCTTGCCCAAGAAGTTTTACAGTGCCCTTGCTGAATTCTCAGATGGTGAATATGGTGATTACGTGGCCTGAGTCAGGGATTCCCAATCTCTCTGAATTGGAAAATGGTCTTGCAGACTTACTACCTCTTTCCTTCACAGGCTCTTAAAACCAGGGGCGGATATAGGGCAGGGTGAGTGGGGCGGCTGCCCCAGACCCCGTGCTTCAAGAAGCCCCGCGCATGCACGTGGCACCACTGTGCATGCGCCATGGCAAAGGGGGCCCCCGTGAAATTGTGCTGCCCTAGGCCCCGCAAAATGGTCATCTGCCCCTGCTTAAAACCGTGTAGTAACTCTGGTAATTGCTTACATGCAAAGAAGATATTGAGAGCATTTGTTTTGTTTAGCTGAAGGTAATGAGTCTGTGTGTGGGGTTTTTTTTGTAGGTTTTTTGTGGGGGAGGGGACAGGAAGAGAGAATCCTACTGGCTGTGGTAGTGGTGTGGGTCTCCCTCCTCTCCCCCCCCCTCCCATTTTCTCTGTCCTGGCTCCTCTCCTAACCCCTATCTCAGCTCTGCTGCCTCCCCCCACCCCACTTCCCAATCTCTATTCTGCTGAGACTGTCTCCTTTTCCTTTTACCACACACTACCTGGAATAGAAACCTGTCTCCCCTTCCCATTGTTCCCTGTATGTACTGCCTGGCTGCCTTTATTCCCTTCTCTCCTGGCCATTCCTCACTTGCTGGTGGCTGGCTCTGCCTCCTCCTTCTCTTCAGCTGCTATTATAGTCCTACAGATTCTACTTTACAATGGAAGAGTCTGAACAACACATAAGCAGCTGAAAATAAGGACCAGCATGATGTGATTGACCAGCATTCCACAGATCACCAGGAAGTGCCTCATGGATCCCCAGTGGTCCACAAACCTCCATTTGCGAACCACTGGCTTATGTGAAACGAGTTAGCTGGGTATGTAGAGGGCAAACTTTTACTCCAGTAGGTAAGTGTCCACATCATCTCATCCCAGACCGACACCAGTTGACTCCCTTGGCAATTACCATTCATCTGTTTAATAGATGCACAGAGAAAAAATATTTGGGTTGTGTGTAATCTAATCCTTAGTGCTGTCAGGACAAGGACACTCTAAGATAGGGCTCCATGATGAGAGACTAGAACAGTGTTTTCTCAGCTCCCACATCTTTCCCTCCCATACAGACCACTGGTTCAAATCTCTTCTCCCTTCTAAAGGCAGAGTACAACCACTCCATGTACCAAAATTACTGTTATTACTCTGAGTGGGTAGTCTCTTGGAACTCAACTCAGACCTACTTCATCTACTTCTTGGAAGTCCCCATATTTCCGAAGTGGTTGAGGCCTATCCATTTAGGGGTTATAGACATATCGGAACAGTGACATTTTAATGTATAGATTGTCTAGTAAATTTGTTCAGCTATATAAAACAAGTCTTGCTTTTATTGAGGAGATGAGCATAACCAATTGGTGAAGAATCCAGCTCTAAAAATCTAGCACCAGTTATGGAACTTTGCCTGAAATTTTTAAAATGGGGAAAAAAAGGCCAAAAAGAAAAGCATTGCATAATTTAAGACCATACAAACATTTCAATGTGTTTTATTCCAAGGGAAATAAGTTAAGGAACCATCCCTTTATAGCACTTGCAACATAACCACTCTAGCACAGAGAATCTGTAAGTGAATGAGTGTGAAACTGACCAGTTGAGCATTACTGTCCAATTGATCTGAAGTGAAAACAGTGCAATAAAATTGAATTTCTTTCTTAGACTGTAAACTCT